GAAGCAGCCATGCTTCCTGTACAGCCTGTGAAACCGTGAGCCAATTCAACCTCTTTTGTTTATAAACTACTCAGTCTCGGGTATTTCATCCACCATGGGATGACACAACAAAAAGGCTTTCACTAGGTGCAGCTCCTTGACCTTGGATTGGCCAGCCTCCAGAACTGGAAGAAATCACATTCCTTTTCTTGTAAATTACCCAGTCTGTGGTCTTCTGTTATAGCACACAATGTGGAGTAAGACCAATGGCAAAAGGGACTTTCAGATATAATTAGGGCTATGGACCTTCAGAGAGAAAAATTAGCCTGGGTTATCTAGTCGGGCCCAGTCTAAATACACATGCCCTTAAAACAGAGAACTTTCTCCAGCTAACAGCAGGGGAGAGCAAGCAGAAGATAAAGTTAGAGAAATGTGAACTGTGAGTGGGACTCTGCCCACCATTGTTGGCTTTGAAGATGAGAGAAGGGACCATGAGTCAAGGAATGCAGCCAACCTCTAGAAGCTGAGAATGACCTCAACCTCACAACCATATGAAACTGGATTCTGCCAGCAACTTGAATGAGCTCAGAAGTGGATTTACCCTTAGAACCTCCAGAAAGAAACAGCTGTACTTATTTGTGGTTTTATCCTCATAAAATCCTAAGCAGAGAGCTCAGCTGAGCCACTTTGTACCTGGACTTCTGGTTTATTTAACTATGACATAATACGTGGATGTTGTTTTATGTCTCCAAATTAATTTAATTAAGGTAATTTGATATGACAGTAATAGAAAATTAGCACAGTTTCTGAGGAGATATCAGTCGTTAGTTGGATTAATTGCTAACCAGTACATAATATGTAACTTGACTTTCATTGCTTTTTATCTTTGGATTTTAGCAATTTGACTACTCTGTGCCTTAGCATGTTTGTTTTTGTTTATTCTGCTTAGTGTTCATTAGTGCATGTGCAAATTTTTGTCTTTCCTAAAATTCAGGAAAATTTCAGTCATGATGTCTTCTAATATTTTTTCTGCACCATTTTATTTCTACAGCTAGTATTCTAATTAATATAATCTGTAAGAATTGTAGGCTTTGTTCGTTTCAAAATGTATCTTTTCTCTGTGTTTCTCACGTTGGACAACTTCTGTTGGTTTATCTTTAAGTATACTTACTCTGTCATGTCCATTTGGCTAGTAAATCCATTGAGTAAAGAATTAATTTCGGAAATTGTATTTTTCAGTTCTAGAATTTCCCCTTTGTTCTTTTTTACTGTTTTTATTTCTTTCATGAGAGTTCCCATTTCTCTGCTGAGATTGTTAGTTACAATATTTGGTTTATTTAGGGACTGGATTTGATTGATCTTATTGTATCTTAAAGAATGTGTTTAGATAGATATATAGATAGATAGATAGACGGACAATGTTTTCATATGTTAAATAATTCTGAACTGTACCATGGACATACGAACGTGACACTGTGTGTATTCTAGATGCCACTGTTTTTCTCTGTTGAGTATTCTTTTCTTTGCTCAGTAGGCAGTGCTCTTGGCTAGGCTGGAACTGGAACTGTTTTCTTGTGTGGCAGCTCCGCCTCAGTTCAGGCCTTTTGCTCCGGCTGCTTCCTCCAGTCTATTCCTGGCCTGCGGGGTTCAGGGGATGCCGGCAGCCAGAGTCTGGGCATTCCCTCTCTGGGTCTTTGTTTTCTGGGATTTCCCCATCATTTTCAGGGCTCATGGTTTCCCAGCTTCACCTTTCTCATTCCCCAGGGAAGAAAGATCATGAATGTTGTTATGTGCACCCCACCCTTTTGGGGGAGAGTTAGCCATCTATGCCTTTGTATTTCGTCTATTGATTTCACAAATTTGTGTATTAAAACCCCAAGTATAGGAGTTTTGCCTGTGACAGACAATGCAGGGAGAAATCACTATGTGTCCTGACATATGTGGATGCTGTTTGATTGTTTTCTATTAGTCAAACGACCAGCACCATGTACGCAGTTTGAAGACCTTCATATCTGGTGTACGGGAAGGCTTTATCTCCACGTGTTTCAAACACACGCGGTGCTACCAATGCTTAATGTTTTCTAAAGTGATCGCCGGAATGGAAGCTTTCTTTTATTTTTATTTTTTATTTTTTTTGCTAAAAGAGGTTACACATAAATTTTTAGTTTTTGTCTAATTATGACCTTTAAATATATTTCTATTTTTTCCTTATTTATTTGAAAAAGCTCTTTACATAATTGTCTTAGTCTGTTTTCCATTGCTATTAAAGAATACTGCAATACCTGGGATTGGATAATTTTTTTTTTTTTTTTCCTTAGGCAGAGTCTCTATCTGTTGCCCAGGCTGGAGTGGTAATTTTTTAACAACCACTTTCACTGTAACGAATCCAGGCCCAGAAGAGCAAGAACTGACTCATGCCTGCAGAATTAACCCAGTCAGTCGGAGTGCCATAACCCTCTTGACCTGATTGCCTCTCGAAAGCCCCACCTTCCCCTGGGGACCAAATCTTCCACACATAAATTCTGGCGACATACTGAAACCATAACAATAATGAAGACCATTAATGCTTTGTCTCTTAGATATGTCACAAATCATTTCCCCAATTTATCTTGCTTTCACTTGTGTGTGGTATTTTTTGAATATAGGACTTTAACTTTTCTGAAGTCAAATCTATCACGACCGAGAAACACTATCATTTAGTAATGAGGCTCCTTGCTTGGCAGTCAGAGAGACCAGATTTCACATTCTGTCTCCACTTATTACTGGCTGCGTGACTTTGGTGCATTGTTTAACCTCTCAGTACTAGAGGTTTCTCGTCCATAAAATGGTTGCAGCAGTGTCAAACCTCGTGGAACTGTTAACACATTGTGCAAACAATGGTTGTAAGATACCAATGCCAGAGATGGGAACTGACACGTGCTGTCAATGGCAGCTGCTACCTGTTCGTTCTACGCTGAGGATTAGTTCCAGTCTGTCTTTTTTCCCCATGCTTAGAGAGTGCTTCTCCACCTCAAGTAATATGTATATTTACCTAAATTTTCTTTAAATGCATTTTTGTTTTCGTGGTCCATCCCAGCCCTACTGATTTGAACTGTTAACTTTATAAAATCTTTATTTTATATGCTTTTTCAAATTGTTTATGAATTCAACACTGTTTTAGTTTTTTTTTTTTTTTTTTGAAACAGAGTCTCATTCTTTTTGCCCAGGCTGGAGTGCAGTGGCATGATCTCAGCTCACTGCAACCTCTGTCTCCCGGGTTCAAGCGATTCTCCTGCCTCGGGCTCCCGAGTAGCTGGGATTACAGGCACCCACCACAACACTCGGCTAATTTTTGTATTTTTAGCAGAGATGAGGTTTCACCATGTTGGCCAGGCCAGCCTCAAACTGCTGACCTCAGGTGATCCACGCGCCTCAGCCTCCCAAAGTGCTGTGGTTACAGGTGGGAGCCACCACGCCTGGCCTTTTTTTTTGACAAGATTTTGCTCTGTCACCAGACTGGAGTGCACTGGTGCACTCATAGCTCACCAAACCTCAAACTTCTGAGTTGAAGAGATGCTCCCACTTTGGCTTCCCAAAGTGCTAGGATTACAGGAGTGAGCAGCCGTGCCTGGCATACTTATTGTAATTTTTTTTTTTTTTGGAGACAAAGTCTTGCTCTGTCAGCCAGGCTGGAGTGCAGTGGCATGATCTCGGCTCACTGCAATCTCCGCCTCCCGGACTCAAGCAATTCTCCTGCCTCAGCCTCCTGAGTAGCTGGGATTATAGGCATGTGCCACCACATCTGGCTAATTTTTGTATTTTTAGTAGAGACGGGGTTTCACCATGTTGGCGAGGCTGGTCTTGAACTCCTGACCTCAGGTAATCTGCCCAGCTCGGCCTCCCAAAGTGCTGGTATTACAGGCGTGAGCCACCGTGCCTGGCCACTTATTGTAATTTTTAATGAACATTTTGATCCTGGTGGGTCACACTTCTTTCCTATTCATCTTACTCAAATCCTTTTCGTACACTTTGTTTTTACTCTTTCAAAAGAGCTTCAGGTTATTTGATATTTTTCTTGGGCTGGCATGAAGTACATGAGGAAAATGAAAATCTCAAGCGTTGAATCTAGGAACACTGTAAGTCTCTCCGTTTATTTAAATTTCCTTTCATGGTTTTCATAAAGTTTTTTCCTCACTGCACACAACTGGTTAGGTCATTTCCTAGCACTTTTACGTTGCTGTCATGTATCCGATCCATCTCAGTGTGCTTTCTGTCTCATTTTTACTGGTACTTACAAAAGTACATACATTTTTATCATCTGCACATATTGATTTTTACATTTTTCTTTGAAAATGTCATTTCATTATCGGAAACGTCTAGCACCATCTTAAATGGTGCAATACACAACGGAAGAGAGGCCTTGGTTTTTTCACATTTTACTAATTATGAGGCTAACCGGTGAGATAGTATTTTATTCCCATTTTGCAGAGGAAGATAAGGGCAGTGGGGCACACAGCTGGGGCACTCGCCCCAATCCCATTTCGCATTTGAGCCCAGGCAGCCTGGCCCTGCTGGGTGTACAGTCCCGTCGCAGAGAAGAAACACGTGAATGAACAGCCTCGCTGTGCGCCCACGAGGAGAGGCCCCCGGGACGCAGCTCCTCCCGCGGCGGCTGGGCCCGGCTTCCCGCACTGGGGCGCTGTCGGCCCGTGGTGCGGGGTTCGAGCCGCGGGCGGGGAGTCCAAGCGGGCTCGCGACGGACACCAGGTGTCACCTGGCCGTGGCGTCCGGTGCGGCGTGCGCGTCCGGGGGCGCGGCGTGGAGGAGCGCGCGGGATGGGGCGTGGGCGCGGGGAGCGCCGGGCGGAGCCTTAAAAAGTGGCCGGGCGGGCGGGCCAGGCGGGCGATGGCCCCGCGGCCGGGACGCGCCCAGGGACCATGCCGGGCAACGGCAGCGCGCTGCCCAACGCCTCGCAGCCCGGGCCCGGCGGAGACGGCGCGCGGCCGCAGCCCTCGTGGCTGGCATCGGCGCTGGCCTGCGTCCTCATCTTCACCATCGTGGTGGACGTCCTGGGCAACCTGCTGGTCATCCTGTCGGTGTATCGGAACAAGAAGCTCCGGAACGCAGGTAGGGCCCGGGGCCAGCGCCCCTCCGCCCGCAGCCAGCCTCCCCCAGCACCGGGTTCTTTTTCCCGAACACTGCGGGCTCGGAGTTACTTTTCTTATTAGAGAGGACTCTTCCTCCAGCCTGCCCATCGAAAGTGCCTTTTTCTAAGACACGGAGTCGCAGCCCCTAAGAGATGGGACGCTCCGCCAGAGTCGCGTTCTCTTTCCTATGGGGACACTCCCGTCTGGTTGTCCCGTCTGAGTTTTACTAGATTGAGAAGCATCAGGTCCAGGTTGCAGAAAGCTCCTCAAGCAGCCTCTGCAACGAAATGAACTGCTGGGTCTTACATGGGACTTAGTTTTCCTAACATTGTTAAAATATGGAAACACAGAAGCTGGCAAAATGCTGGAGCAGCCGCCGTGGTTTTGTTGTTCAGAGTAGTCTGCAGTTACGAGCCTACAGTCCAAAAAAAGGCCCCTAAACATGCTGTGTCCGGCAGGCCGCGGCTCCTCCAAGTAAACAAGCTGACACTTTAAAAACAGAAGTTGTTGTGTTAGAGGAGGCAGGTAGCCAGGCGTGAGCAGAAAGAGCACACTTACGTATCATATGCAACTGCAGATAATTTTGTGCTTGAGTTAAACTTGCTTTTTCCTCCAGCAATGCATTGAACTGGTTTGTTCTGGGGGGAACCTGTGGACAGTTTGTTCTTAGGATACTGGATATTCAGACCTCTAAGGGATGATTAGATGCTTGGTTCTCTGAAGAAACTAGTTTTTTATTTGGAGGCACTTTTGGGAGAAGGTGTGGGGAAGGAAACATGCACTTCAATGTCTGCCAAGATCAATATTTTTGTTTTAACTAGGTAGTTAAGAAAAGCTCTAATTTTGTTTAGCTCCTTTTGGGGGGACTCACCCCTGCCTCTCCCCACCCCCCATAATGCTTTTGCAGTTTGTAATTTGAGAATTAGTTAGTTAGGCACCTAGTAACATGAATTGAGTTTGAGTTTGTAAATAGCATAAGCTCACTTCGTAGGTGACTGATATAAACTGGAGGAATTCTGCTTTCCAGAAGAGGCTCATTCCTTCCTACCCACAAAGACGGCTTTCTCTGGACCAAACAGGTTGGGAGCACTGGGTTAACGCATCCCAGGGCATCCTTGTGGTGTGTGGTGCCATTCTTAACTCACCTTGCAGAGGAGAAACTGGGGCTGCAGGTTGTTCACAGGGACTGGAAGTGTGAGCAGGGCTGAATTTCCAGAGCTGGCCTCCAGAGCTCACCCTGCTTCCTTGCTGTCAGCAGCTGTAGCACTTGGGAAGTTTGAATCCTGCAGAACCTTTCAGTTAAAAAGTGTTCACCGCCCGGGGTGGTGGCTCACGCCTGTAATCCCAGCACTTTGGGAGGCCAAGGTGGGTGGGTTGCCTGAGGTCAGGAGTTCGAGACCAGCTGGCCAACATGGTGAAACCCTGTCTCTACTAAAAATACAAAAAATTAGCTGGGTGGTGGCACACGGCTGTTATCCCAACTACATGGGAGGCTGAGGCAGGAGAATCGCTTGAACCTGGGAGGTGGAAGTTGCAGTGAGCAGAGATCGTGCCCTTGCACTCTGGCCTGGGCAACAAGAGTGAAACTCCATCTCAAAAAAATAAAATAAAAAGTAAAAAGTGTTCTCGCCTGAACAATTTTACTTCTTGTGTTTTCTGAAGAAGAACTTAAGAAAAGCGCTCCTTACACACACTTTGTATTTTATTTGCTAAGACATGCTCTTAAGAGGACAATCCATAAAATACTACATTCCTGTCGCTTTAAGGGGAGCCCCTTAGTGAGCTTTAATCCACACAACTTTAGAAGTTTCATATTTTTATAATACGGATTTTCTGTTTATATGTGCAGTTCAAGCCATTTGAGAATTTCTGGACTCGATGGTGATTTGAAACAGTGATAAGGATAGCTGATTCAAATGTAAGTTTTGGTATGCTTATTAAAAGTTTTGATGATTTTCAGACCTCCCATTTCAGCTAAATGAATTTTGTTGGCTTTAAGGATGAAATGATGGGAAGAAGAGAATGGAAGAAATGAGAAGGCGAAAGCGTCTAGGCTTTGAACCGTCACTTTCCTTTGGAAAGCTGGTATAATTGCTGTGATTTCTGCCACCTTCCTCCCCTCAAGGGACTGTGTTGACATTTGATTTCCCAGAGAATAAATTGAAAATGGCTAACAACCTGCATGGCAGGGACACTGGACAGCCACAGCCGAAGTAAGCTGCAACCACTGGCATCTGTGGTGCCAACAGAATATTCGCTCTACTCTTGTCCACAATTTGATGATAGAAGTGATACTGCCATATCATATCTTCTGAGTAAATTTGATAGCATAATGGACGATTCCTGCAGTGGAACGCTAGAATTAGATCTTTGCTGTGCACCTTCTGATTTCAGAAATCAGCGAAGCTGAATACCAAACTTCATTTTCCACATTTGTCGAATTGCAGATAATACCTAACCTTTTAGCCTCATAAGAGTGTTGCAATGACTGTAGTGAAATGGCGCATATGAGAATACTTTGAAAAGGATAAAACAAGTAATACTGTGTTGGCTTGTTTGTTTTCTGGGTACACCTAACAAAGGTGTGCTCTGTTTGTTGGAAATCATTGCGCTATAGACCTATGATTCATGCACTTTTCTATATGTACATTATACTTAAATAAAACTTATTTTACAAAGTATCAGGCAAGAGTACAATACTATCTTGCCTATTCAAAATTCAATTATCTGGCAATCTAACTGAGGTAGAATACAGCCAATAAATGGAAATTAGCAAAAATGACAGGCTCTCACCTACAGATTTGTTCTGACTTAGAGTGCCACAAAGCTGTGATGCTGGTGTGTAGTTCCCTGTAGATTATGAGCAGGAAGTTAGGAGGAAGATTGACACAGTTAAAGAAATAGCACATCATAGCAAGCAGCATGGGTTGAAATAGACTCATTAAAAGTAGGTCTGAGAAACAGAACAAGCACAACCTTTTGTGTTTACATTGTGAGAATGCAAATAACCCTGCTCACCATTAACTGCTCCTGAAAGCGGCACAGTGCAGGAACGCATTTATTATCATCACCCGATTCACCAGCGAGAGGTGTCATCATGAGTGGTGTGTTCTTCTTAAGAAGACAGGGATATAATATATTTTAGAAAGACACCTGTCAAAAGCAGTTTATTATTATTATTTAATCTGTGTGCACAGTAGGGTAAACTTGTCAGTATATGTTTAAAAAAAAAAAAAAGTAGTTTCCCAGGATGGCTCTATGGCTGGATGGCTGACACTGTGCTAAGCCTCTCTTGCACTTGTTTCTTTTAGGTCTCTATAGAATGTTATAATTATCCATTCTGCATTACCACTCAGAGAGGATGCAAAGAGTATGGAACGAATGTGGACTTTGGGCCTCAGAGATCTGGTTCAAATCTTGGATGTACCACAGCTGTTTTAAGATGCCGCTTATCTTATAGGGATACTAGAAGGATAAACTTAGATTCTGCCCATCAGTCCACCTACTTACCCATCCACCCACCTATACATCCACCCACCCATTCATCCATCCACCCACCCATCGTCCATCCATTCATCCATCTATCCATCCATCCATCCATCTACCTACCCACTTACCTATCATTTTGAGGTACAAATAATAGTATTATGATGTTATTACTAGTATGCATCCAATGACTAGTTCTTTTTAGGTTGTTTTTATTTTTTAAATGTTCATTTATTTTTAAGTGTATGTTTTAAAAAAACAAGTAGACAATGTGAACTGGAAGAGTGAAATCAGTCAGAAATGGAAGGGTTAGAACTGAATTCCCATTTGTGATGTTATGCAAAATACACAAAATCTCCATTGTCTGACTTTTCCCTTTTGCAACAACCATTATCTCTCTGCAACAAGAAGGCCTGAGATTTAAAGACTGATTATTTCGATATCGGCTGTTCTCTAATTTTAAGTGAATCAGCTCTAGAAGCAACAGTGGCTTCCTTGGGCAAGCATGCTACTATTCAAAAACGTACGCCCTAACTTGTACTGTGCAGACTTGGAAAATGATTTCAAGCTAACCCCGCTTCACGCGATCTCCAGGCCGAGAGGTTTCTTACTGGCGCCGCAGTAGTTCCCTCCTGTAGCTTTCCACAGTATTTCAAATTACTGACTCAAAGCAATTTTTTACCCTAGAGACATTTTATTGATTTTTCCCCCTTGTATTCTTAGCTGTTGTTCAGATTTCTATGACTTTCTATCCTGGTTTGTATAGTACATTGTTATGGAACTCTAAGTTTTTACAAATAGGTCAAAGTAATTCCCAGAATCCCCGTAGTTTCAGACTCTCAGGTACATGATTGAATTTGGGTCTGATCTTTGGTTCCTCCAGCAATTCATTTCATAAGAAAGGATTTCTGGCAGGAATTTTCGGTGTTACATTCATCGCAGAAAAGATAGAGCTTACTTTTGCTGGCTTTCAGCATCATTTTTCTCTTGGCAATTTTGGAAGTTAACCAAGGATAAAATAGTCTTAGATTAAACCTCCTGCTATTAGTATTTACTGCCATTTGATGGTTCTGTTTAAAAAATATCTGCATTGAAAGCTATCGTGCCTTGGAAGTCACTTTAAATCTCCACACAGTCTTTGGAGCTCATTCTACCCATTCTCCCTTAGCACCTTTAAAAAATAATCACCAGAATAACTGAAGTGAATGGTAAGATCTTTACAAGGTGCCTTGAGTTTTCCCTTTTTTTCTAAGTATTTGTAAGTTGCCTTGCTGATAGAAATACCCTTTCTTCTAAAAAGGAAATTGACATACTCCTTTAGAGTTTTCTAGTACCAACGAAGCAATTCATGGATTGTTGTTAAAGAAGCATTTATGCATGCACAGAGCTCTGCACGGTATCATTGGCGCCATCTCTGCCTCTTCGTGAAGGTAATCAGCCGCCTCACTTCTGCCTCTCTCACATAATCACGTTGACCAGAAACCTGAGGGCTGTATGTGATATCTCTGTGATTTTTAGTGCAATTAAATAATGCTGCAGATTAGAAATAAACTGCTGGATTCTCTGGATGAAGTGCTCAAACACTTGTCTTTCTACAGAGCTGTACACTTCCAGCAATCACATTGAAGGAATCAGTCTCAGAAGAAAAGACAGGAAATAAAATGCATTTGCATGGTGCTGAATATTATTCAGGTTAATGGAGGTGAATTTGAGTTGTTAAGCAAACGGTTTAAAAGCGTGCTCACTTGCTTTGACACTGAGTAGTTTTGGTGCTTATTGAATTGAATATGTATCTGGATAAATACTTACTGCATTCCTACAGTATAAGGCAGAATGTAAATGGTTGGTAAATTTTTGAGGATTTGTAAAAATTCAAGGTCCTGTGCTAAGCTTGGGTCAAACGCGGTTTCTACTTTCAAAGAGATGACTTTCTATCAAGGCACTTTCGAAATGTGTGTTCTTTTTATTTTCAAACAAAGATAAGACATGGAGCACAAAGGTATGAAAATAGGAGCATATTTATATAGCAGAAAACTTTTTCGAGAGAAATGTGAAAGTTGGTTGGTAGATGGTAGCTGGGGCTTAAAGCAATCATGAGAATGTTTTAAAGTTGTTATCTTAGGAGGAGAGAACAATGTCATAAGTGGGAGATGTGAAAACCAGTTCACATGTGAGATGGCAGCAGATGGAGACAGAATTAGTGAGAGAATTTCGAAGAAACTGATGAGTGATGGAGACACAGCGTAACAATTAGAGAAGAACGCACGGGCTTCAGGTCTTTTGAAGAAACGGCTGCTGGAGAACGAGCTGCAAACTTCCATTTATACTTGTTTTCCTACATAGTTATTAAGTGGTGGATTATGAAAATGTGTAATCGGTAATTAGTATTTCCTCTTTGATGATTTTCTGAACATGTTTAGGAATACAGAACTCTTACGATCTTGGAAGGGATAATGTGCCTTCATCCTTCATGCATTAATTCCCTCCTTTATTTAAATACTTGCTGGATGCCTCCTATGTCCATCTATAGGAGCTTAGGACACGATTTTGTTTCAAGAGAAAATTCTGGTTCACTCGTTTTTATTTTAAGATGTAGTTTAAATTGCAATTTTTACTTTTAAGATTTTTTTGCTAGTTAGTTTTCATTCCATTTTTTCCTTTTATTATTTACTTACCTTTTTAGCTCCTTAAATTGTTCCCTCTGAATTTGGAATACTTTCAGCTTTTCTGATTTGTGTATATGTCTGTTTAGGTATCATACAGTCTTTTACCATGTACTTTTTTTTAAAGATTGTTTTACGTATATAATATCTATATCTTTATAGATTGAGCATTCCTTATCTATGGAAGATTAGTGCTATTATAGGTCACATTTGTTGTAGTATGTCCCTCTGAAGCACATGGCCTCAGGAACCTACTGCCTGGAGCGAAATCCTGGCTCTGCCATCCCATGTGTGTGACGTTAGGGCAAGTGACCTAATTTGCTCGGTTTCCTCACTTGTTAATTTGGGACAATACTAATATTGTAAGAACTAGATGACTTGCCGTATACTTAAAGTGCGTTATGATTTAAATATAACATTCCCAGAAGCAGAATAAATTCCTTTTGTTATTTAGTATTCTTGGTGTGGAGTTCTGATGTGTAAATATATTTTTATTTTTAAGGCAGAATGCAATATTTCACACTTACAGGTCTTTAAATAGTCTAAGTATATAAAAATGGAGTCAAAGTTTTAACTTTTAAAAAATTACTTTTATGACAATATTATTTTATACTTTTGTAGTGTTAACTTGTTTTCCTCTCACTGATTTAACTTTCACATATAAATAGGGTTCTATTATGATTGTGTCATTTTTAATAAAACTCTCTTTTGGATTTAGCAGTTTAGAGTTATTATTTAGTTCAGTTAACCTGTTTATTTAAGATGGGGTTTTCACCGAGTCCTTCAAGGTTCGGAAGAGGGCCTAAGGAAAAAAGACTCCTACGCTAAAGAGAGTTCATATCGTTTTTTTGATTGCTTGTTAATGTGGCTGAAGTATTATGATTTTATTTTTGTTAAAGTTTCATCCTAAATTCTCTAAGACGAATAAAGGTACAGTATCAGTACTTCATCTTCCGTGGAAGGGTGAAAGGCTGAACCAGTCAGGCGGTACTGTGGATGTTTTACAAGTTACAAATGTCTCACTAAACCACCCTTCTCAGAAGACAGTAACGGGGCATAGAAAATGAGCAGGATTATTTGCAGGATGTTCCACCTTTAACACTGACTGAAATCCATATGGGAACAAGCAGGAATGTGCATGACTTCTTAAAGACACCTCTGGTGCCCTTGGTCTCTCGTGTTGTATATACAGTTTATATGCAATACAGTGTACAATGCAAAGTGTACAGTGTACAATACCCGTGTATAATATAAAGCAGTGCCAAGCTCCATCAATTTTCTCTATAGCAGCAGTCAACAATCAAGTTAGAGACCAGACGGGAACTGGAGACAGAGTGGGATAGAGAGAGAAAGGGATGAGCCAGGAGGACACGTGGGGTCCAGGAGGCAACGGAGCCCTGAGGTGCTCAGATGGAACAGGGTGTCCAAGCCACAGCGAGTACCGTGAACCAGGTGTGGGGAGGACGGTGTGTCCCAGGATCAGGGTGTGAGGGGGACAGCATGGCTCATGAACAGGGTGTGAGGACAGCGTGTCCCGTGAACACTGTGTGAGGCGGGCGGCATCTCATGAACGGGGTTTGGGGAGGAGAGTGCATCCTTTGAACAGGGTGTGTGGACGGCGTGTCCCACGAAAAGAGTATTATAGTTTGGAGAGTTTAAGGAGTTAATGGCTAGGAGAAGGGGTCACTAAGAATGTCACCGAATACTGCGGCGCTGTTTAAACCTGGGTATTGCAGGGTGATGAGCTGTCATGTGTGCTGTGGAGAGCCGTGTGTGGAAGGTGGAGGGGAGCAGTTAGGCTGATGGCAGGAGGGACACGGGGTGAGAGGAGGCTCATCGGCTATGGAGAGACCCCTCTTCCATTGCAGGGATCAGGGAGGATCCTCCCTAGCCAGGACTGTGTGCCAGTGGGGAACCTTCTGTGAAGCAAGACGTGTGGTTTCCATCACAGGGGAACAGAAGTAAGACATGAGTGAGTAATCCTGCAAAGGAAGATGGGCCACATGCCCTCAAATCCTCGCCACGGCCCTAAGCAGCTTGATTTATTCCACGTTAAGAGACTGAGGCTGTGGGAAGCTGTGACTTACCTGAGGTCACATTAGCAAGTGGAATGGCCAGGATTTGAATCTGGCTTTTGTTTCTACACTCACGGTGCACACTGCCTCTAGTAATCTGAAAAGACACGTTTCTAAGGTATAGTCTCCTTACATTTAAGAATCTAAAACATTGACTCTGTGCTTTGAGGCCTCGAAGTAAAGCCCTTCCCTTTCCCTTGTACTGCCAGAGAATATTCCTTACACACCTGCAATAGCTCAGCTTTCTCTTGTCACACAGTTAACAGGTATGCACGTGGAATTTTAAAAAACACAAACCAAGTTTGTAAATAGTTTAGTACTGGTCGTTATCACTGTGATGCTTAAGTTCAGGCACACTCAGTTTCTTTTAGTCTTCATGAACAGTAATTCAGGGGGCCTCTAACCTTGCTTTTCACATGGTTAAAGTCCCGTCTGAAATGAAAGGAGTGAATACTGACCTGCTGGGAAAACACAGCATCTTAGTGGATACCAGCAGAAGAGCAGGTAATTTCTGCTTTTCTGAGGGAGCAGTTCAGAGTCCAAGGGTGCATTAGTTCAATCAGCAAATGATTTCCCAACACCTATTATGTGCTGGGCTCTGCGCTCACCGTGAGAATGTAAAGGTTCATGTCCACAGTGGGGACCTGAGTCTCAGCGGGAGACAGACTGTTGGGCAAATGTGTGTGGTTTCACGTTGCCATGATATTGGAAGCAGATGCACACATAGCGAGGACGGGAGCATGGAAGAGCAGTGCGGGGAGGGGGCTACAGTCTGTGACTCCTACCCAGTATTGGAAGAGCGGTGCGGGGAGGCGGCTACAGTCTGTGACTCTCCCCCAGTATTGGAAGAGCACGGGGAGGCGGCTACAGTCTGTAACTTTTACCCAGTATTGGAAGAGCGGTGCGGGGAGGCGGCTACAGTCTGTAACTTTTACCCAGTGTTGGAAGAGCGGTGCGGGGAGGCGGCTACAGTCTGTAACTTTTACCCAGTATTGGAAGAGCACGGGGAGGCGGCTACAGTCTGTGACTCCTATCCAGTATGGTTGGTTTGTGTCTGTAAGACACCATAGTAAGTAGCTCCTTTTTTCTATCAAGAAGCCAGTGACCTCTTTAGGAAACCACCCAATCCCATCATAGGGCTGAAGGTCTATTTTAGGTTTGCTGGAAACAGAACCTGAGACAGAGGCTTGGTACTCGTGCTTTGCTGAGGGCGCACTCTCGGCGGGGAGCTTGTAAGAAAGAGAGGAGAGCAGACCAGGGCAGGGGAAGGGGTCAGGGAGGGATGGGATCTCAGGGAAAGCCGAGACTTGGCCTCATCCGTAAGTTGGGGCCTCTGGGCATCAATCCAGCAGAGTTGCCATTACTTGAGGCAAAGGGACTGGTCATTTGTCCCCAGTGTCAGTGGCTCTTTGATCACTGAAGGCAGTCTTGGGGAAGGAGGCAGTCCTTGCCAAATGAAGGCACTCAGCACTCACAGACACTCGGGGGAGAAGTGCGCCAGCAGCGTCTAGGACAACACCTGTGAAAGACAGAGGATGTGCAGGAACCGCCTGGAGCCCAGGCTTGCTGTGGTGACGGGCCCTGCTAACCACACGCAGAAGAAAACCAAGTCTCTGCAGTTTTAATCATCGCACAGATTTGGAGATTATCAAATGGAGAAAAAGATGACCAGAGCTGTAGAAACACAGAAGTTTTTCAGAAATACACATTTTCTTTGTTAATGAAAACTTCAGACACAGGGTCCAAACTTTGCACAGTGTCAGACAGGTTGATAGATTTCTGTGTAATTCCCAGAAAAGCAAAGTGATGCAGAAGTATTCATTCAAATGCAAATCAGCCTGAGGATTGCAGAGTGTAGGGTTTCTAAAAAAGAGCAAAAATGACTGATAAAAGGTAAGAGTCTGGCCCAGGATAGGAAATTCCTGTATTTTCACTCAGCTGAGAGTTTCACTAGTTAATGATGGCATATCTAGCATAAAAAAAGCATTACACAAATGGCTGCTGCAGGCCGGGCATGATGGCTTATGCCTGTAATCCCAGTACTTTGGGAAGCCAAGGTGGGCGGATCACAAGGTCAAGAGATCGAGACTATCCTGGCCAATATGGTGAAACACCATCTCAACTAAAAATACAAAAATTAGCTGGGCATGGTGGCATGTGCCTGTACTCGGGAGACTGAGGCAGGAGAATGGTATGAACCCGGTGTGAGGGTTGGGGGCAGTGGAGGTTGCAGTGAGCCAAGGTCGCACCACTGCATACCAGCCTGGTGACAGAGCCAGACTCCATCTCAAGAAAAACAAATAAAAATAAAGAAATAGCTGCTGCTCCATTTCCACTTTCCAAATCTTACACAAAATTTTTTTGTGGATGAGGCAATCCTATAATTATGCAGAAAACGGAATTCTGGAGAGTATAGTTCCGGTTCAGCTAGGTTGACGCAACACTAATTCAACACAGTCCACCCCTTGGCAACTTGGATTCTATCTATAGATCTCTTTTAACCATATTTAACTTCAAAATAAAGGAAATACCAACATTATGCTTCCATCTAATGATGCAACTATCCCTTGTAAAACTGAAAATACATTAGCCCTCTTTGTAAAAGAAAGTACAGTCTTTTTATCCAACTTTATGTGATTTTTATTATTCTAGTTGAGTCACATTTCCCATTTGATATCCTATCACTTAAATTCTGAGATACAAGGTTCACTACTAACACATCTTATATGAGATGGTAGGGGAATAGCAGAGGGAAAGAGACACAAAGTTATTACTATATTCACAAATTATTCATGGTAAAGCAAGCAGGAAATACTCATAATTATTTTAGCCCTCATTTCTGCAGTTGGCCAGGTGGCCGTAGTGGGTATTTGGAGCTACCATGTCCTCCCCGCTCCCTTTGCCCTCTGGCTCTTTGCATGTTGTGGTGGCTGAAGCCTTCATTCCTAACACTCTGGGACACTGGCATTCCTGCCTGTATTGGGTTAGTTTCCCGTTGGCTTCAATCCCAGGGCACAGGGGTACTGAGACACTAGGGAGTTCTGGCATGCCAGACCTGTACTTCCTTGCTCTTATTGTGTAATAACAACCCAGTTTCCCCTTGATAATCAGGACTAAACACGTTAAGCACAGTAATCCCCTTCTTTGTCTATTGATTCACTAGAATGAGGAGCCCCCAGGTGGCACTCTCAACCTCCAGTTTTTTTATTTTCTTTTTTTTTTTGAGACAGGATCTCACTCTGTTGTCCGAGCTGGAGTGCAGTGGAGCCATCATGGTTCCCTACAGCTTTGAACTCTTGGGCTCAAGTGATCCACTCACTTCAGCCTCCCAAAGTGCCAGGATCTGTGCCTAGTCTCAATTTCCAGTTTAATGAAACCAATGAAGTGTCTCCTGGTGGAAGCATTGCTCCCTTGGGAACTAAGACTTTAGACCAACAGAACCTAAGGTTTCAGAGAAAGGAGGCAAACATTTTGCTAGGGTATCACCAGGGTAATTTGAGAGGATGAGTGGCCATTTTCACCCTTGATTTTCTGATTCATGAATCCTGGCCATGGGATGAACAACACTCTATGTTAATCACTGATTTACAGCAGGTGCCACATGATAGGGGTCTGTACCCTCGGCTCACCCACCTGGTGCTGAAACTGAACCTTCAAAAGCCATTCCACCAATCTGTCAGGTCAGCTGTTTGGAGATGGGAAACTGGTAGGGCAGTGAATTCCCAGGACATGGCCCCATTGCTGTACTTCATTGCTGTCAGAGGAATTCCTTAGTCAAAAGCAATGCCATGAGGAATACCATCATGGTGGATAAGGCATCCTTTAAGTCCATGGATGTTAGGTTGCTGGAAGATTTAAGGGCCTGAAAAGGTAGGAAAGGCAAATCCATATTCAAGAGTATGTCTCTGTTCCAGCCAGAACAAACCACTGCTCCCTTTGATGATAGAAGTGGTATGTAATCCACCTACCAGCAGCATCTGGCTGATTTTCCCAGGGAACAGTGCTCCGTTGGTGTTCTCTCCAATCTCGGCAGGCTGGACATCCAGCAGTGCCACAGTGGCTGCATCCAGATCAGTTTTCATGAGGAGTGATCTGCTGCTGAGCTCATGAATAACTTCTATCCTTGCTGCCATGACAACTTTGTGAGTCTATCGGTCAAGGACTGGTGGCCAAAGACAGATTAACTGATATACACAGGTTCCACCATCAAGACACAAATATCTTCACACTGAGTGTCCATGCTGAGAGGTCTGTGTGCCTATGTCTTCTCCAGAGCCCCGTAACTGGTTTTCTAATTATGTTTCTTCCAAATCCTTGCCCATCTAGCTCAGTGGTCCCTAACCTTTTTGGTACCAGGGATTAGTTTCATGGAACACAAGTTTTCCACAGGACAGGGTGGGGGAATGATTTTGGGATGAAACTGTCCCACCTCAAATCATCAGGCATTAGTTAGATTCTCATAAGGAGTGTGCAACCTCGATCCCTCACATGGAGTTCACGACAGGGTTCGCGCTCCTATGAGAATGTAATACCGCCGCTGAGCTGACCGGAAGGGAGCTTCGGCGGTAGTGCTTGCTCATGTGCCACTCACCTCCTGCTGTGCAGCCTGGTTCCTACCAGGTCACGGACCCAGTCTGTGGCTAATGGTCAGCTAGATCAGTGGCTAATGGTCAGTTAGATCAGGCATCTCCAACCTGATCGAGCTGACCATTAACCACTGCCTATGAATCGAGCTGACCATTAACCACTGCCTATGAATCTAGCTGACCATTAGCCATTGTCCCCATCAGGTCGGGGACCCCTGATCTAGCTGATCATTAGCCACTGCCCATTAATCAGTGCAGATCTGAACCTGTGGCCCTCTCTCCTTCCAGGACAAATGAACAACCAGTTTGAGGTTCTTTTTGAAGCATTGCTCCAAGTTCTGTTTCCTGGGAGGGTCTTCCTCCATCCTTGTTTTTCAGGGCCATACTGGATTGAGTCTGTAGTGCTGCAACCATCCAGTTTCAGGTAGTGTCCGTAGGTCATGAAAAGCCATATGGAAACCAGGTAAGAAGGTTTTTTTTTTTTCTTTCTTATTAAGCTGCTCAGGGGCACATCCTCATGAGGCCATAGGAGCATGCTGAGGGAATGGAGGCAGGGTGGCAGGAATGTGGGCCATGGCCTCTGAGCCACTTGCTCGTGCATCTTCCCTGTGCCTTCAGGAGCTGCTGGAGCCAGATCTTGGATGCATGGCTTCTGTTTGATGCTGTGATGGGCAACTTTATGATTTGGTAGGTCAGACAGCACCTGGTCCTTGAGAGAGCTTTCAGATCACATGGTCACTTGGGTGTCCACGTTCAAGCATTCAGACTCTACTAAGGTCAAGTAGGAAGTAAAAAATGGTATCTGCAAAGGAGAGCACAGATTTGCTGCAAAATACTAAGGGTCCGTGTTATGAGTCATCTGAATGTGCCTGCTAAGGCCTTCTTACAGTCTCCCTATTACATGCAGTGGTCCCTCCATATCCATGGGTTCCACTTTCAGGGATTCAACCAATCATGGCGTGAAAATACAATCTTTGAGGGATGTGGAACTCAAAGATATAGGGGGCCAACTTCACATATTCACAGGTTCTGCAGGGCCAACTGTGGGACATGAGCATTGATATGGTTTGGCTGTGTCCCCAGCCAAATCTCATTTCGAATTCCCATGTGTTGTCAGGGACCTGGTGGGAGGTAATTGAATCACAGGGGCAGGTCTTTCCCATGCTGTTCTCGAGATAGTGAATGAGTCTCACAAGATCTGATGGTTCTATAAGGGGGAGTTTCCCTGTACAAGCTCTCTCTTTGCCTGCTGCCGTCCATGTAAGATGTGACTTGCTCCTCTTTGCCTTCCGCCATGATTGTGAGGCTTCCCCAGCCACGTGGAACTGTAAGTCCATTAAGCCTCTTTCTTTTGTAATTACCCAGTCTGAAGTATGTCTTTATCAGCAGCATGAGAATGGACTAATACAGGCATCCATGAATTTGGGTGTCTGTGGAGATTCTGGAGCCAGTCCCTGCTGATACCAAGGGACAACCATAGAAACAATTCAAGCACCATTGGTGTCTTAGCCTGTTCCTGCTGCTATAACAATATAGACTGGGAAGTTGTAAATAACTGAAACATGTTTTTCACAGTTCTGGAGGCTGGGAAGCCCAAGATCAAGGTACTGGCAGATTTGGAGTCTGGTGAGGGTTGCTTTCTGCTTCCAGGATGGTGCCTTCTTGCTGTGTCTTCTGGAGCGGATGAATGCTGAGTCCTCACATGGTGGAGGGACGAACAACTCCCTGGCACCTCTTTTATAAAGGCACTAATCTCATCTGTAAGGGCTCCACCCTCATGACTTAATCACTTCCTAAAGGCCCCACTTTTCAATACCATCACATTGGCGATTAAGTGTCAACATATAAATTTTGGGGGAGACACATTTAGACCATAGCCATTGGATCAGATGGATCAGGTGGCTGAGCAGCCTTCAGGGCCTTGTTCTGGGCTCCAGTCAACACTGACAGCTTTTTGAGTCACTCAGGAAATGGGTTTGTTAGTACGTCCAACCCATTGTATGGTTGGTATATTTTGTTTTTCATCTTAGTGGTTGGAGGGTGATGCAATGACATTGTTTTCAACTTGGAAGGTGAGTACAGGTGTTTTTTGTTTTGTTTTTTGTTTTTTTAATAGAGTCTTGCTCTGTTGCCAGGCTGGAGTGCAGTGGCGTGATCTCAGCTCACTGCAACCTCCACCTCCTGGGTTCAAGCAATTCTCCTGCCTCAGCCTCCCTAGTAGCTGGGACTACAGGTGCACACCACCATGCCCAGCTAATTTTTGTATTTTTAGTAGAGATGGGGTTTCACCATGTTGGCCAGGATGGTCTGGATCTCTTGACCTCGTGATCCCCCACCTCGGCCTCCCAAAGTGCTGGGATTACAGGCATGAGCTACCGTGCCCGGCCCAGGTGGTCTTTTAAGGAATTCTTTTGCCCCTGCGGCTGTGACTACCAGTGTCCCTTAACTACTGGAAATAGGGTTTCTAATACTTTAAATCTAGTCCTGTTACAGAATCAACTGCAGGTAACCCAAAACCAGCACAGAGAAACCCTCCTGAAGGTTCTCCTTGGTCCACTTCCAGAACCAAATTCTGTATCAGTCTGGGTTCAATCAATCCAAGAAGCAAAATTGCTAGAGCAGTTGTGTGAGCTGATGGAATAGTGTATTTGAGGCTTTCACTTCTGTGTCTGGCGCTGCTGTTTAAAGTTCACGGAGTTGAGAAGGAAAGCTGGATGTTAGGAGGGGACGCAGGGGAAGCTAGAATCTGGGAGGAAGGACTGGAGCTCTGGAGGATGGTCGAAACTCACCTTATGAATTGGTCTGTCACTTCCTCCAAGCCAGGAGGAGGTGAGCAGGAGCTGGAGAAGCTGTGGGCACACTGCTGCCGCCCACCCCCTGCAGGGAAGCAGGTAAGACTCAGAGCGCCGAGCTTGCAGTGGTGTCTGGCACTTGACACAGATGTTCTGAGCACAGACAGTAAGCTGCTGCTGCACTTCTGCCTTCAAAATCTCACGCAGTTGCCTCTTGTGGGGAACACTGACCCGGAGCGGTGCAAGAAAAAGTCTTTTCAGCTTCGCGAAGTTGACACAATATAAACCCACCGTACATTGATTAACCCTCGGCCAGGTACTGTTCAAGGTGGAGGGAGAAGATGTCAAAGCAGGCAGTGTCCTCACCGAGGTGACAGCTGGGGCTGTGGGAGATGGGGAGAAGTAGAGACATAATTGCGATAAACAGAAAAGCAACGCCGTGTTGCTGTGTCATTCCCAGAAGGGACTCACGGGACTAGTTCTGAGGAAGGCATTCCCGGCAAGCTGACATTTTAGTTGTCTGTTACCTTATTTTATTCATATCTATGCCATATTTCACTTCCAATTTAAAGTTTTATTCCTGGGAGCAAATATTGACTGTGCATTTTATAGTTGGTGCCTTTAATCACCGTGAGGCTGATTGCTGTCCGTCTTGTTGCCAGCATACTGACTTCTAGGTGTTTTCCTCCCCTATCTTCTCTTTAGAAGGTTCTAGTTCTAATATGCTTCTTTAGAATTGTGCCTGGAGAGGCTGTAAGCCAGGATGTAGCCACAGGGCCCAGTTTCTGAGTCTCATATCTGTAGGAGCACAGGAGCTTTCTCAGGGAAATAACATTGAACAACACCAATTCATAGCATTGCTATAATCCTGACTCTTTCACTAAGCAGTCGTACGACTTCATCCAATTTAACTCTATATTTTTGTTTTCTCATCTTTAAAAAGCAGGAATTATCCAGGGAGATCATTAACACATCTCTCAGTTTTAACATCCTATTATTCTGTGATTCTGCCACAGTAAGGATTGGAACTATATTCAACAGAGAAGAAACTGTTACCCATGAACAGACATTATTTGACATTTCAGAATGCATTATTAAGCTTGTTGCATACAGTCCTGGATATCTGTAGAAATGGGTAGATTGTCCATATATCTGGAGTTACATAGATTTCAGAATGGAATAGATGAACTTATAATATGTATAATTATAATTAGATGATTTAATTACTCTTATCTGGTGAATTTCATAAAAGAAAAAAGGAAATTCCCTTTTTCCTTCTCCCCCAGACACCACACACCCCCCATGCACACATGAATGCCTGTGCTAAAGCTTTATGTGAGCTACCTGATAGCCATACCTGTATGGAGTCTGTGGCTTAATTAATTTTCACTAAGCATTTGTAAAATGGGATTAATTCAAAGAATTAAACTAATGATCTAATTAATGTAATTACTTGAATTAGAATGCAATGTAATTACTATAAAATAAATGAAGCAGGGTATTGGAGCCATGAAAGAAATGTATGACATCATTTGTGATTTCGTTTTTAAGGTCTTTTAAAAATAAATCCAGTATTAAGCCAGTTTGTCATCATGACACTCTGGGTAAAAATGTGCTGTTAGAATGATAATTTAATTTGGAACAGAATTTCACATAGTATAGATACTTTCAAAGCATTAAACATTTTGAGCTAATAA